CTTTTGCAAATGAGGTCAAGCAACTTTATGAAGGTCCCAGAACTAGTAAGTGATGGCACACTGGGATTCCAGCTCTAGTCACTGGGCTCCAGAATCACATCTTAACTATAATGCTTTCTGGCCTCCTAGAATATGCTGTCTTCTGGCTTTAAACACTGTGAAGCATGGACATGAATGCAAAATATTTGTATCATTATTAATAATAGCACTACACAGAGGGCCTTTTGAGAGGCTGAGACTTGGAACTGTCAGGAGCTGCTTTTGTCTAATGAAGTGAGTTAGGCCAGTTAAAGGGGGCAGGGGTACCATCCTTGGACACTGGGGAAGGACAGCTCCTCTCCAACCCAGTGCTGATCAAGCAGAGAAAGCTGGTCCACTGAGAGAGCAGGTGAAAGACGATGCACCACTGAGATCTATGAAGGCGGGTCATCCAGTGATTTGCTGGTTCCCGAATCCAGATTCCCTTCCATCCTATTAACTACCACCTACAACCAATTAGGGCTTCCCTGGTGCCTCAGATGGTAAAGAATCGCCTGCAAAGTGGGAGACCAGGGTTTGATCCCTGGGTTGGGAAGATCTGGAGAAGGGAGTGGCTACCCACTCCAGTATTCTTGCCTGGGAAATTCCATGGACAGAGGAGCCTGGCAGGGTACAGTCCATGGGGTCCCCAAAACAGCTGAGCAACTAACACACAGAGACACAGACACAGATACACACACAGAAACACACACACATAACCAACTAGGTGATGGGTTTCTGCTCCTGGAAACTAACCCAGTCCTGACAGAGTCCATGCATTAGGCATCTACTGGCCAAGTACTTTGCTTTCACACTTGATCTGCTTCTCTGGCCAGGATTATTATTACAGCCTCCCAGCTGGTCTTCCTATTTCAGGCCTTGCCCTTTGCTTATTGTCTACATAGTAGCACACACAGGATGATTCTGCTGAAATGTTGGTCAGGTCATTTCATTCCTTTGAACAAAATGCCCTAGTGGCTCTATCTCACTCAGAGGAAAAGCCAAAGTCCTTTCTACAGCCTGTAAGACCCTAAACATTCCAGGTCTTGACTCCTCTGACCTCATCTCCCATCACTCTTCCCTCACTTAACCACAGTTACATGGGCCAGAAAGAGTCCAGAAATAAAGTCATGTACCTATGGTCCACTGGTTTTCTATAAGATTATCAAGCCATTCAGTAAAAGAACTGTCTTTATAACAAATGGTGGTGGGACAGCTGGACATCCACATGTAAAAGAATGAAGTTGGACCCCTACCTTACACTTTATTTAAAAATTAACTCAAAAAGGGTCAAAGATCTAAATATAAAACTATAAAATTCTTGGATGCAAATGCTTATGACCTTGAATTATATAGTAGTTTCTTAATTATGACACCAAAAGGCCACAAGCAACCAAAAAGGGGAAAAAAAGTATTAGACTATTATGCATTAAAAAAACCATCAAAAAGTGAAATGAAAAGCCACAGAATAGGATAATGTACTTATAAATCATGTATCTAATAACAGTCTAGTATTCAGAATACAGAAAGAACTCTTAAACTCAACAATAAAAAGACAAACCACCCAATTTAAACTTAGGCAAAGGATTTGAATAGATATTTCTCCAAAAAGGATATAAAAATGGCCAATGTCAGTAATCATCAGGGAAATGCAATTCAAAACCAAAATGAGATACCACTCACACCTGCTAGAATGACTGTAATACTTTTGTTTTAAAGAAAGAAAGTGGAAGATAATGAGTGTTGGCAAGGATATGAAAAATTCGGAAGCCTCATACATTGCTGGTAGAAATGTAAAATGGTGTGTATGGCCACTTTGGAAAACAGTCTTTGAAGCTCCTCAAGAAGTTAAAACATAGAGTTACTATATGACCTAGCAATTCCACAAGAGAATTGAAACATATGTTCACACAAAAACTTATACATGACCAAGTTTCCATTAACTGATGACTGGATAAACAAACTGTGGTATGTCAATACAATGGAGTATTACTCAGTAATAAAAGGGAATGAAGTCCTGATACATGATACATGTGGATGGACCTTGAAAATATTATGCTAAGTGAAAGAAATCAGGCATAAAGGCCACACAGTGTACTATTTAATTTATATGAAATGTTCAGAATAGGTTAATCCATGCAAACAGAAAGTAGATTACTGGTTAACAGGGGATGGGGGAAAGAGGGAATTGAGAGGTATGGGGTTTCTTCTTAATGTGATGGAAACATTCTGGAGTTAAGTTAATGTGATGGAAATGGTTGCACAATGCTGTCAGTATAGTAAATACCCAATGAATTATATACTTTTAAATGGTTTCAATGTTGAATTTTATGTTATGTGGAATTTATCTCAATATAAGAAAACTTAAGTAAATTGATTTAAAAAAATGTTTCCATAAAGAAATTTCCAGGTCCAGATGGCTTCAGTAGTAAATCCTACCTAATATTTAAGGAAGAAAATGTATCAATTCTACACAGAAAATGAAAATGAAAAAAAAAAGGAACACTTCCCAACTTATATTTTCAGTGAAGTACTACTCTGATACCAAATCAGAAAAAAATTTGATTAAAAGATTGCAAAAAAAGAAATAAATCTCTAATGAACATAGACAATTAACAAAATTCTAGCAAATCAAATCTAGCAACAGATAGAAAGGGAAATGAGGCATGACCAAATCGGGTTTATCCCAGGAATGGAAGGTTTGTTTACCATTTGAAGATTAATCAGTGTAATTCACCATACTAGCACAATTAAAAAAAACAAAAAACACCAAACAACTATATGATCATCTCAATACAGTTGCAAAGTCTTTTGACAAAATTCAAAAGCTATTCAGTAAACAAGAAATAGAAAGAACTTTCATAACTTAATAAAGGACATCTATGAATAATCTCCAGCTAACATAATACTTAATGGTGAAAGACTGAATGCTTTCCCCCAAAGATTAGGTAAAGGGCAAAAATGACCACCTTAGCCCTTGTTTTCAACATTGTACTGAAGGCCCTAGACAGTGCAATAAGGAAACTAAAACAAATAAAAAACATATAGATTGAAAAGGAAATTATCTTTATTCAAAGACAACACGATTGTCTACTTTGGAAGTCCTAAGGTAGCTACAAAAAGCTATCAAAACTAACAAATAAGTTTGGCAGGGTCACATGATACAAAGTCAATGAACAAAAATCAAATGTATTTCTGTGTATTAGCAATAAATAGTTAGAAATAAAAATATAAAATACCATTCACAATAACACAAAAACTTAGTATCTCAGGGATAAATTTAACAAAATATATGAGGAACCTATATAGGAAACTATAAAATATTCCTATGAAAATTTTAAGACCCAATTAAATGAATTTTTTTTTTCATTTATTTTTATTAGTTGGAGGCTAATTACTTTACATCATTGCAGTGGTTTTTGTCATACATTGAAATGAATTAGCCATGGATTTACATGTATTCCCCATCCTGGTCCCCCTTCCCACCTCCCTCTCCACCCGATCCCTCTGGGTCTTCCCAGTGCACCAGCCCCGAGCACTTGTCTCATGCACCCAACCTGGGCTGGTGATCTGTTTCACCCTAGATAATATACATGTTTCGATGCTGTTCTCTTGAAACATCCCACCCTCGCCTTCTCCCAGAGCCCACAAGTCTGTTCTATACATCGGAGTCTCTTTTTCTGTTTTGCACATAGGGTTATCGTTACCATCTTTCTAAATTCCATATATATGTGTTAGTATACTGTAATGGTCTTTATCTTTCTGGCTTACTTCGCTCTGTATAATGGGCTCATAAATGAATGTTAAATGGACAGATACACCATGTTTATGGACTGAAAGCCTCAATATTGTTAAGATATCAATTCTCCTCAAATGAAGATATATTTGAAAAGCAAATTGTTCTAAGAAATCCCAGTAAGATGCCAGTTGGCTTTTTTCTTTTTTTTCAAAGAAGTTGAAAAAAAGCTGACTACATCTATATATAAAATAGGTAAACAATAAGGTCCTATTGTATAGCACGGGGACCTATATTCAACATCCTGTAATAAATCATAATGAAAAAGAATACAAATAACTGAATTATTTTGCTGTATACCAGAAACATGCACAACATTGTAAATCAACTTTACGTCAATTAAAAATTTAAGAGTTGGGAGGGGACATGGGTAAACCTATGGCTGGTTCATGTTGATGTTTGATAGAAACCAATGCATTACTGTAAAGCAATTATCCTTCAATTAAAAGCGTATAAAGATTAAATAAAAAGAAAATGTATGTGAGAATAGAAAATACTTAGAATAACCAAAACAATTTTATAAAAGTTGAAGAACATGGAGGGACTTCCCTGGCAGTCCAGTGGTTAAGACTCTGTGCTTCTACTGCCAAGGGACACAGGTTCAATCCCCGGTCTGGGAAATAAGATCTCATATGTTGCACTAGTGCAGCCAAAAATTTTAAAAAAAAGAAGAAGAAGAAGAACAGGGAATTCCCTGGTGGTCCAGTGGTTAGTATTCTGTGATTTTACTATCGAGAGAGTGGGTATAATTCCTGGTCAGGAAACTAAGGTCCTACAAGCTGTGCAGTGTGGCCAACAAGTGAGAACAAAGTGCAGCTAAAGAAAAGAACAAAGTTAAAAGACTTACTTTATCTGATCTCAAGACTTATTACAAAGCTACATAATCAAGATAACGCGGTATTGCTATAAAGATAGATTATAGATCAATGGAACATTATAGAGGCAGAAATAGGCCAATACATATATAATCAGTCAGATGTTTTACAGAAGTTCCAAGGTTATTTTATGTAGAAACAGTGTTTTCAACAAATGGTGCTGGAACAACCTGATATCCAACTAACTTCAACCCTTCCCTCACACCTTCTTATACAAAAGTTAATTCAAAAATTCATCCTAGAAATACAATTGATTTTTGTATATTGACTTTATATAGTGTGACCTTGCTGAACTCACTTGTTAGTTTTGGCTAAGGAGATGGGCGGTCAGGATGGGGGAAAGTGGTGGTGGGGGGGTCATGTGTGAGGCTGGCTAATTTAGAACAGGTGGTCAGGGAAGACCTCCTAGGAGAGGTGACATCTGGACAGATTTGAAAGAGGCAGGAAAACCAGACATGGAGTACTTTGAGAGGGGGAGTTGGGGGTCTCCCAGGGCTGCCAGAATTTATACTCACAACAGAGCTGGTAGCAGAATCAGGGGCTGAGCCCAGGTCTGCCCCTTGGAAAAAGTCTGAGAGAAGAGGCTTCTTTGGGGTGGGGGCAATGCAGCCAGTAACTCGAGACACAAAGACTGACTCAGGTAGCAGGCTGACTGCCTGGGGAAGGGAGTGCCTATCATCTGGGTGGAATGGTATATGGAAAGCCATTTGTCACCTCCCTAGGGTGGCAGGGACACCAACACTCTAGCTGGGGGGCCAGTAGCTTCCCCAACGTCTACTCGGACAGAGCATGTGTCACAATGTGATACTTTACATATTCATTCACAGAAGTTCCTTGGTGGTCCAGTGGTTAGGGCTCTGCGTTTCCACTGCAGGGGCCCCGGGCTCAATCCCTGGTCTGGGAACTAAGATCCTACAAGACACATGGCACAGCCAAAAAAAAAGAAAATATATATTTATTTACTTATCTGTCATCGGTGTCATGAAAACATGAGCTCCATGGGGACAGAGACCTGCAAAGAACAAGCAGGTGATTCACACAATTTCTTTGTGATGAGGGACTTCCCTGGTGGTACAGTGGTTAAGACTCTGCACTTTCAATGCATGGGACATGTGTTTGATTCCTGGTCAGGGATGTAAAATCCCACATGTTGTGTGATGTGGCCAAAGGCAAAATAAAACAGATTCATGTGATGAGCAATCTGGCAAGCCCTCCATCCCCCTCTTAAGAGAGGAAGTCAAAGTGGAAGGCCAGATGGCCTGGCCCAGGGGTGGTTCAGGCTCTGGGAAAATACTTGAGCTGAGGGTGATTCATCATTCCCATCCCACACAGTGAAACCGGAGACTAGGTTGCTTATCCTTTACTTCGTTCAGGGCTCACAAATTCCCTCTAAGGTAGATTATACCCTCACCATTCCCAGATGAAGAATCCCCGGCTCAGATTTGAGATACCTTACAAGTTTACATAGCTGATAGATGTCAAAGCTGCTTCTCTCCAGGACCCAGAGTCTATCTTTCCATGCTGAACTTTAGAATGGGGTTTGAAGCCACAGGTGGTTGTTACGGTGATGGAGTGGGATGGCAAAGGTGAGCTCCAATAGGTGTTCTGAGTGACTGCTGGCATCTGTTAGACACCAGGAGCCCTTGGGCAGGAGAGGAGACTTGGGTCAGATCCTGCTCCACTCGGACAGCTGTCTTGCCCGAGAAACACTGAGCATCACATGATCTTCTGATCTGGCCAAGGGTCCCAGGTCCAAGGGTAAATCCATTCAAATGGAGGGAGAATCCTGTGACAAAGGGGATCATTACACAGGGGCCTAGCTTGTAGCACCTGTGAATTCACAAGGGGACCAGCACACCTAGTGAGTCATCAGGTCTAAAGTGCCTGGTAGTGCATCTGACACGCAGTAGGTGCTCAATCTTGGGTTGCTATTATTATAAAGACAATATTCTCACGCGGAAATTAGTAATAAATTGGAAGCTGAATTTCCTTCTGGGCTGAGTTGGAGAGCTCCGCAGGGCCAGGGTTGTGGGAACCAGATGAAATTTGTTCCTAATGAGGGTTCTGTGGAAGCTCAGCAAGTAGTTCTATCAAATTAACAGGCCCAGCGGACACAAGAGAGCAGATTTCTTCCTGAGCCTGGGCCCTGCCATCCCTCAGCCCTTGGAAATCAGATTATCGGGTGGGCAGGGCCAGGGAGGAAACTGAACTAAATACAATTACCAGCCCCAGCTTGTCCTTCTCAGCCTGGAACAGGGCAGGCAGGAGGGGAAGGCAGAGGGGAGTCAGAGCCTTGCTCAGGAAGTTACAAATCCAAGGAAGTGGATAGGACAGGCCCATCCGTGCTGGAGGGCTTTGTCTCCATGAGCCCATTCTGGGATTAATTGTCTCATCCCCATGCTGTTCCCACAAAACACCAGTAACCCAGGCCTCCTCCCTTGGAGACAAGTGCAGTAATTCCTTTTATAGCTATGATCCCATCCAGCCTCGGCTTGAATCTCCCTAGTGATGGGCTGTTTGTTACCCAACAAGGTCTTCCGTCCCATTACTGATTCAAAAGCAGCCAACTGTAGGCAAAAGCCATTGGTATCTGGCCTTAGATCTGGCCACAAAGTTGATGTAGAACCGTGGGCGGGCTTGGCCGCCTTTCCTCACCTGTGAGTTTTGTGGCCTTGTGGGAGGCGCTGTGCACATGTGCTCCGTGTCCTTCCATGCTCTCCCACTGTGAACTGTGATTTTCCAGGTGGACTCTGACTCATCGAAGGACATCAGCCCATCATGGTCTCAGGAGTCGACCTGGGCATTTCCTTGGCTGTGGTGGTCCAGGCAGAGCCACCCCTTCAGACTCTCCTGCCAGGACTGCAGGAAACTGCTCTTGCCGTAACTCCAGATGGGAGCAAGGCAGCGTTTGCCCTGAGTGCTGATGATGAGGGCTGCCCCGCCGCCATGGAGGAAGCTGGCCTGACACAAAGCAGACACACGTGGAGGCAGAGCTGAGAGAGCTGCAGGGGAAACGATAGGGCCTGAGAAATGTCCAGTGTATCCCAGAACTTCTCGGTTATGGGGGAGCCAGTAAATTACCAACATTGTTCCATGCGGTTGGTTTAAGTTGCCTTTTCTGCCACTACCCATCTCTTAATGGGGCGGAGACTCCTTTCAGGCTTAAACGTGTGGAGGTTTTTCCTATAAACCAGCTATACCTCAACAAGGAAAATAATAAATTTTATTTAAAAAGTGAAAAAAAAAGTGTTGAGACTTTTCCTAGTAGGAAACTGGCTTCTCTGAGTTTCCATTCAATGGCTGTGGTTACAGCACTGGCCATGTGCACTCTGTTTCCACAGGAAGCGAGCCCGGGAGTCTGCTGAGCGAGTCTCTCATCTCCCACCTAGGTCAGTAGTAAGCTAGGGGAGAGAGTTTTTCTCACATTCAGAGAAAATGCAGCAGAGGAAGAGGAGGAGGAACAGGAGAGGAGCCCAACAGCTCAGCTCATTACTGAGCCACCGCATTCCCTTTTCGGCTCCTACCGAAGTTGGGTTTAAGTTGGGTTTCTGTCACTTGTATAGACATCTGACTCCTAAAACCATTCTTTTCATGTCTGCTCCCCAGCACCGAACACTGTCTGTCACATACGAGACTCTCAGTTAAGATTATGGCTTTATTTCCCATGATCTGGAGCCTTCTACTGATTTTGCCAAATTCAAGAATGTGTTAGTGTATGTGGTTATCTCTTTGGAGGAGCAGGTTCGATTTTTGGAAGGCAGATTCAGCAAACGTCTCTCAAGTACTGTGCCAGGGGTTTTCACATATATTACTTTATCTCCTATCCAAACTGCTCTAGGTAATTCTATGCCCATTTCCCAGAGATAGAGAAACTGAGGCTCAGAGAAAGTTAGGTAGCATTTTAAAGTCACCCAGCTAAAACTGACAAAACCGGGAAGAGAAGATATGTCTTCTGAGAGTGACACTGTTGACTGCTGATAAACTTAAATCTACTTAAGAGAACACCAAAGGCCTTGCAGGTCCTTTTCAACTTCCACTGTGAGAAAACCCTCCCCCACAGGCTGCCTGTGACCCTCTTCGGGCAGTGGTGGACATGGTCTGCGTGTAGCTCGTCAGTCCTGCCCTGGAGTCAGCTTCGAGTCAGTCCCAGGGAGCCTTTGTCAGTGCTGGATTTGTGAATCAGAAGTTGTTCATTGTGTTCTTAGCAACTTCAACTTAGAAGCTGCTAAGTTGTGTCTGACTTTGTGCGACCCCATGGACCGCAGCATGCCAGGTTTCCCTGTCCTTCACTATCAATGTCCATCGAGCCAGAAGGGCCAGAGGCAAATGTGCACGTTTGAGGGAAATGGCCAGCGGGCAGGGTTAAAGTAGGTGAACTCACCCAGTTCCCTGTGAAACCAGAACACAGAGAGGAAGAAGTTACCGGCAACCACGTGAGCATGCCCTCCCCCTCTGATTTTTCTTTCTAAATGTCTCTATCGAGATATAATTCACATATCATAAAACTGGCCCATTGTGTACGACAATTGTTTTGAGATATATATATATCTATATATTTTGATATATATATATTGAGTATATATAGAGAGATATAGATATATACTGAGTTGTACAACCATCACTACAATCTAAGTTTAAAACATTTTCATCACTCAGAAAGAAACCTTATACCCATTAGCAGTCACTCCCCATTTGCCCTCAATCTCCCTTCCCCCAGTGCTAGGTTACTCAATCCACTTTCTGTTTCTTTAGATTTGCTAATTCTGGACATTTCATAAAAATGGAATCACACATTATGTGGTCTTTTGTGCAGGTTTCTTTCACTTAACATAATGTTTTCAAAGGTCATCCATGTTGTAGCATGAATCAGTATTTTACGGCCAAATATTACCACACTGTATGGATATACCAACTGATAAAGTCATCAGTTCATGGACATCTGGGTTGTTTCTACTTTTTGGTTATTAGGAATCATTCTGCTATGAACATTCACGTACAAGTTTTCGTGAGGTTCTGGTTTATTTATATATTCATCTGTTCCCCATTCTCAGGTTCCTTCCCACATAGGTAACCGTTTCAGTTTACGTAATGTTTTTTAGTTAATGTGTTTCTGATAAATGTGTATTCCTCTTGGGTATGTGCATTTTTAATTTGCTCACATGGTGGTATTATGTTGCAGTTCGTTTTCTGTACTTTTCTTTACTCAGCTCTGTGGTTTGGGGATCCATCTATGTTGCCGTGAGCAGCATCTGGTTCATTGTGCTGTCTGCTGTGGGTCCTCAGGGGTGGGCTACAACCACATTTTGGACCCTGGCTTCCACTTTATTGTCCACTTTGCTGGCACCACGCCCAAACCCACAGTGGACATCTGGTACGTGTCCCCTTCAGAACCTGGCGAGAATGGCTAGAACATATGTCTGAGAGAGGATTGCTGGGACACAGAATATGTGCATACTTTCTTTGAGTGGTGCCTGACTATGAACAGTCTCCGCTGCTGGCAGACAAGACTGGGGCTGCAAGGAGTCAGAATTGTTCTTTTCATCCATTTTCCCCACACGGAAATAATAGCTGAAACAGATACTCGCCATCCCGACTTGCAAAGCCTGACATCAGTACTGAGATGCACCCTGCCTACTGAATGACAGAGACAGACAGACCTTTTTATTTCCTGTCTCACACCTCTTTACTAAGTTCCTAGGACACTGACTACATTTATACCTCCTGAGCTCATACAGTGAGATGGTTCTTCAACCCCTGTGGATAAAATTTCTGAAGAAAAACTGCTACAAAATTTTTGTTTTGCTCTTGGGGTGCAAAGAACTCTGACCCCATAACGACCTTCTTCTTTTTTTGTAACCAGGAGGTGAGTGGGAGGGGCCTGGCTCCTTAAACTCTCCCAGCACTAGGAGCACCAAGGAACTGGGGAAGAGAAGGGGGGATTCAAGGGATCAGCTGGGAATTTTCCCTGGGGTTTCTGCTGACTTCCTAGAGAGAGACTAAAATCCTTATGGAGGGTGGAAACTGTGAAATTTCTTCCCTGGGAAAATTTCCTACATTTTGGGAGGATCAACCATCTGGGCAAAGCTCGAAGTTAACACATCCCTTGGATGACTGGTTTCTTTTTGTTTGCTTGTTTTTGTGGGGCATGCAGGATCTTAACTCACTGACCAGGGATCGAACCCATGTCCCCTGCAGTGGAAATGCAGCAGGGAAGTCCAAGTGGTTTCTTTTTAAGGGACTGACTCAGAGCTTACTCTACATCCCTACCCACAGGGGTGCATCTTTTCACAAAGCACGTGTGCGTCATCAGAAGTCTTTTGCAAAGAATCCATTTGTATGTAATGTGAATCCCTTTGTCCTCATTCTGGTTCCCTAAGTTTGGATTTCTCATAACTGGCTTTTCCTAAGTGAAGGCCATCCTCCTACTGAACAGATCAAATCCCTGTTGGACAGTCCCAGTAAGTCACTGGAAGGGCCTGATGGACGGCTGGGAGTGGTTGCTGCGCTGTGTGGCTGTGAGGGTCTAGTGCTCTCTCTGCCTGTCATCACTTCTTTCCCCTCACTGGCTTCTGGTTTTCAAATTCTAGCTCTGTGGAGTGGCTTCTGCGGCTGGCTTTATTTGAAAGTATTTAGGACAAAGAGAGAACCCAACATTTCAAAACACTGAGCTTCACTTCCACGTCACTTTCTCATAAATGCTGAGAGGGAACAGATTAGGAAGAGGAGATGACGCCTTTGGAGAAGTCACCCTGATTTCCCACTGCCATTTGTCCTCAACATTTTGCTCAATACTGGCATCATAGACATGAGGTCAAAGGTCAGGGGGTCACTGGACCTGGAAGAAGACAAGATTATTATTATTCCTTAAAGCAACCCATTTTTAAAAATTGTATTTATTTTTTAATATATTTTTGGCTGCACTGGGTCTTTGTTGTTGCAAACAGGCTTTTCTCTAGTTGCAGGGAGTAGGGGCTATTCTCTAGTTGAGGTGCGTAGGCTTCTCACTGCGGCCACTTCTCTAGTTGTGGAACACAGGCATGCGAGTGGCTCACTGGCTGTAGAGAGGAGCCTCAGTAGTTGTGGTTCCTGGGCTTAGCTGCCCCACAGCATGTGGGATCGTCCCCAACCAGGGATTGAATCGTGTCCCCTGCATTGGCAGGCAGATTCTTAAACACTGGACTACCAGGAAGCCCGAAGACAAGATTATGACGAGAAAAACAGCGGTACTCTTTATCCAGTGCCTACTTCATGATGGATGTTGTGCTAATACTTGGGCCACTGGATATGAAGAGCCAACTCATTGGGAAAGACCCTGATGCTGGGAAAGATTGAAGACGGGAGGACAAGGGGACGACAGAGGATGAGATGGCTAGATGGCATCACTGACTCAACGGAGATGAGTTTGAGCAAACTCCAGGAGATGGTGAAGGAGAGGGAAGCCTGGTGTGCTGCAGTCCGTGGGAGTTGCACGACTGAGTGACTAGAAAACAATATATATATATATATATATATATATATATATATATATATATCCCTTTCCCACTAACTGTGACCATATTATTGCAGGGTAAGCCTTATCTCAGCTTTATGTACCCTACAAACCCAGGCTACCCTGGACACCACTGTCTACCCCACCAAGACTCTCATCTCTCCCTGACTCACTCTTCTGCTATTCGAAGGTGACTGGGCTCTGACTCAGAGCATGGGGAGGAAGGAGATCCCTTGGCACCAGGAAGGGGAAAGGGACGCAGGGCTGTTAGTTCCCTCTCTGTGGGACCGGAGGGAAGCAGCAGCAGGAGAGAAAGGCCCAGGAGTAGACAGAAAGGGGCAGAGGGGGTCTGGTCACCAGAAGGCAGGGATGGTACAGAAGCTGTTTCTCAATCTTGCTCTCTGACCGCTTAGCCCTTCACAGAGCAGGACCCATACAGTGTCCCAGCGGGAGGGCTGAATGGCAGAAGTACCTGGGAAACCATGCAGCTGACCCTCTCTGAGGCCTTGAAGTCACCCTGAGGACTGAGCAGAAGATTCCCATGACTGTCAGCCTGGCAGGGGTCATGGATGCGCGGTGGGCTCGGGTTTTCCCTCTTCCTTGCTTGTGCAATGACCTGGTCCTTGTGCTAAAGGCTGGTCAG